CATGCAAAGTGTTGATAAACCATAAAAAACAAAACCAAATTTTGATTATTTACAGTATTCCCCTTTGATTATTTACAAGTTGGCTAGAAGGTTAATTCCAGTGCATGACATTCTTTAACTTTCTACCCCACCCTTTTCCGACCTCGAACTTCGTCGCCTTTATTTTAATCGATGTCGACTCTTCGCAATACAATGACTGAATCGAGTTAGTTTGTTTAATTGGGAAAAAGAACGCAGTATTTAAAGACCACTGGTCGATTACACAAACGATAAAAATAAACTGCACCTGTGACACTCTAACCCCCAAGGCCAGAAATTCCCAATGCTGTTCTCTATTGACCAAAGTAGAGCAGTTCAATGAAACCGTTAATTGCTTCTAAAATAGAATCTTCAATCATTCAGTATTTATGACAGTCTTATGATGTTGGAGAACGGACAGTCATACGAGAGCTAGCAAGCTAGTCTCAAATAGACTTGTTTTGTATATTCTATAATCACAAAGCACCTCACTCATACGGCTTTCTGCCAGACTAATCAAAAGGTCTTAAATAACTATATCACAGTGCCTTGTTTTGGTGCGATAGTTAGCAGTAAATCATTATTATAATAGTAAATTTGATCTTCAATGGGTGTCCCTACTAAGCCCAAGGTTTATATCATTTCATTCATAGATTACACAAGGGCATTTGATAAGATATCGCACAAAGAATTCTTTGAACGGTAAGAAAAGTTTGAATGACAGGGAAGACAGTAATCCGTCAGAACAGCCTCATACTGATAGAGAATTAATTTAGTGAATACACACAAAGAAGAAAAAAAAGAAGTAAAACGAGGATGCATTTTCTCACCGAATTTAACATATATTTACCCAATAAAAGGCCTAAGAGCCAATCAACGTAGAGTGTTATTGTGTAGTGTTGTATGAGAGTAAGAAGCAGCCAGAAGTGAAGTTCATGGAAAGATAATGGTTAATCCTAGACTTGAAGAGACCAAGATTGAAGTAATTGGCAAAACATCCTGCCAGTAGTCTGTTCCACAAAACAGCAGTTCTTGGGAAGAAACTGTCCGAATGGAAACTTACTATAGGAATATGAAGGGAATAGGGATGATTCGCTGTTGTGTACGTGGCATGGCGAGACCCAGTTGTAAAGATCAGAGGTGGTGGGACAAAGAAATGTAAATCGACAGAACACATGCCGTGGAAATAGCGATAGAGAAGCAAGAGGCTTGCAACGTTTGTAGGGCAGAAAATAACTCATCACCCATAGGGCCGTGTCAACCATTTGAACTCTATCAAGGTAGGCAAGTGAGAAAAAAGAAGACAACTCCAGTCCAGATGTGGCAGCAATAATCTATTTTCGGTCTGATTTGGCTATTGTTAAGATAGATTATATTAGGTGGGGTATCAGATACTTTTACCATTTTCCCAGCACCTTTGCGAATAGATCGGATAGATGAGTTCCACCTGAGGTCTGGGAAGTGTTTGAACGTTCAAGAGCATAACTAAGAGGAATAGAAGACTTGCCATCTTAACGAAAAGTACGCAAAAAAACACTGGCTTAATGGCAGAATCAGAAAGAAAACAGAAAGGACTCTCAAAGTTGTAAAATAAAAGCAAGAAAGGACTAATTTCTAAACTGTAATAAGACAGAATGGTTCTTTATCATCAAATGAGATTGCCTAAGATTTGAGCTACCTGTTAGGAAAGTCAAAAACAAGTAGGTAAACACTAATGAATGTAGCTCGTCAGAACATTTGCCATGGAAATAGCGATAGTGTCGCCAGAGGCTTGCGGAGTTTAGTGTTTATTCAAGGAAACAGACAAATTTAGTAGCATTAGAACAGGCTGTATTTGAAGAATGGAACAATATACCAAAGAAAATTGTAGTAAATTAGTTACTAACTACAGGAAAAATTTACTTAAATTTACTGATTGGAAATGCTGTTATTGATTATTGACTGACGCGTACGGAAAATAACTTTTCTTGTTATTTTGTTTTTTAATCATTTCACACCAAGCAAGACAATAAAGCGAGGTTACTGAATGTGGGAGAATATAAGAAAATATAACATTATTAAGTTGCGAGTACCATAAAAAAACAGGAATTAAGAAGACAGTAGATAACGATTGGCATTGCATTTAAACTTCTGAAGACCAAAATTGAATGGAAAGCCAGAAGCCGGAAGAGATTTCCACAAGCGAGAAGTGCGAGAAAAGAAATTGTCAGCAAAGAACTTACGGTTACATCTAGCCAATTTAACTGTAAAATGATGAGACCTCACTACCAATTTAGTACTGCGTTTAAATTCATGAAGTCTAAGTACAATAAAGTTCACCAGAACAATTATTATGAAAGTATTTATAGAAAATCACTGAAAAGCTACATGACGGTGGTGTGAACGTGACTGAATCCCAGATGCCAGATCAGGACCAATGACATTGTAGATTCTTCTTTGGATTTTATCAAAGATCTTCAAATATATAGCAGAAGCAACAGACCATATATGGCAGCAATATTCAAAGCATAGACAGATAGTAGACTTATAAATATACGATAAATTTGAGCGAGAAAAATTGTCTTGTACAATATGTGAACTAACTTTCTTAGCAACAGTCGTAACAATAGATTCAATATAATCTTTCCACTTCATCTTAGCAGAAAATGTTAGTCTGAGAAGGCACAATGTGTCACTCCCCTGGAGGTTAGCATCAGCAATGATGATGGAAGGCAAAAAGGGTTCTCGCAGACGATTAATAGGGAGCAGTTTTGTTTTGGAGGCGTTAAAATTAACAAGCCATTCCTTGCCCCAGTTAATCACAGAGTGCAGGTATTTTTTTTTAAATCAGCTGCCACCTGACCTTATCGAACTGATCAGACTTACTGCTATTAAGACGGGAGTAAAAAGGTATCATCAGCATAGATACCGCGTTGAGAAGGTCGCTGATGAAAATTAGGGACAACGTAGGTCGCATCATAGAGACTTGGGGAAAACCTGCATTAATTCAAAAAGATCTAGAAGAGTGGACATTCAAAACAACAATCATTTCGCTATTTGATAAGAAAGATTGAATCGGTTCAAATAATCGACTGAAAATACCACAACCTTTCATCTTGTGAAGTGAGCCTAGAGAAGCGAAACCCATATTGCTTATCTGAAAGAAGACCCTGCGAGGTGAGGTTCTTGATCAATTCAGAGTATCTAATCGAGTATTTGAAATAAAGAGTATGAGTATTACTTCAATGCATAAATATTATCATCTATTCTTTATACATAAAGATTTGCTCCAACATTTTAAAAATAATTATTTTATATTTTATTATAACTTCGTCAGATCGAGACATTCATATGGATGTCATGCATGACGCCAAAAGCCGTTCAGAAATATCTAAACTGTCAGTTGTATACAGATGCTTTCTCGGATTAATGATGAGAAAATGGCTTTGAGCGAGTGAAGCCTGTGGATCTTGGCGAAGATCACCCTTCTTCGAACATTGTGGGCTTGCGCTACAGAACCACAAAGATCTCTACCAAATACTAGACACCACATCACTTGAAGACTTCCAAGAACGGCAACAACTAAAATGGATATCAAATGTAATTCGAGGGTAAAACAATGACATGATCATGATGTTGACGTTCCACACTACTTGAAATAAAAGATTAGGAAGTAAAACCCCCATCAACACTGGGTAGAGTTATAACAGCTACTGGAAGTGAGAAACCTATTAACCAGAAGAATTGCTGTTACATATGTTCTTCTGTTTCTTTTATATTTCTATAGACCCTTGATAAAATCCAAAGAAGAATCAGCAATCTTATTGGCTCCAATTTGGCGTCTCGGCTTCAGTCACTTTCTCACCGCCGTAAAGTTGCCTCCCTTCGTCTTTTCTATAAATACTTTCATGGTAATTGTTCGGATGAGCTTTTCGCTATGGTACCTAGATTTTATGAATTTAAGCGCAGTACTGGACTGGCAACGAGGTCTCATCACTTTACAGCTGTGTTAGCTAGATGTAACTGTAAGTTCTCTTCTGACAGTTTCTTATCTCGCACTTCTCGCTTGTAGAACTCTCTTCCGACTCCAGGCTTTCCAGTTAACTTTAATGTTCAAAAATCTAAATGCAATGTCAATGACTATCTGATGCGCTCATGGTTACCCTTCCTTTGTTCCTGCTCCTTATTAATGTTTCTGTTTTTCTACATCTTCCCCCACCCTGTAACCACTTGTGTCTTAGTGGCTTGACTACCTTGCTTGGGTTCGCTAAAAAAATTGTTTTAAGAAAAATATTTTATAAATTTTTGCCAACAGCAGCACCGTTTGCCCGGTCAATGAATATACAGTGTAACCCGGATATAAGAGACCCGGATATAAGAGAAACACGGATATAAGGGACTTCTTTTCCGGTCCCGACAACTCTCTTATATCCGGGTTACACTGTAGAATGTTTCCTGATAAAGAAACGGCTAATATTACTATTACAATATATCTTTTATTTCTTGCAAAATGAATTTAATTATTTTAAATGAAAATGATGGTAACTTACCGAAAAGTTTGTATTTTCATGTACAGTGTAACCCGGATATAAGAGACCGGATATAAGAGAAACCCGGATATAAGAGAGATTTTCGCTGGTCCTAAATTAGAGACTGTGTTAATGTATATAAAATAGACCAAACCCGGATATAAGAGAAACCCGGATATAAGAGACTTCTTCTCCGGTCCCGACAACTCTCTTATATCCGGGTTTTACTGTATATATAACCGAAACTTTAATAACTCATAGGAGTTCAATGACTTTCAGTTGAGCCACGACGAATTTGATTTTCAGTTGTTGTTTAAGTTTTGTTTTGAAATTCATCTCTAGTTATGAAAAATGCCAATAGAGGCACCAATATAGATCATAAGATCAATTTAACATTATCATTTAATTTTTATTTTACGACTATGTGGGCTTGAGTAACTGTTGTCTGACATGCTTTTGTTTTCTTTGACGCAGTTATAACCCTCTTTTAGGAAAAGAAATCCAACATCTGCCGGTTCATTATTGGCTGTTTGACAGCAAATCCCATGTAAGCCTCGCTTCTTTTCAACTGCTAATGCTCTCTGATTGGTCTCGCACTGACTTCTTTAGTGCTAACTTTGTGACTTATTTTATCACAGACAGGCAACTGTCGCCACTGATTTCAGAGTAATAACGTCAATAAAAACAGTTGAGAACGGAAGAGGAGGATACAATAACAGTGATTAGTCTTTCATATCATAATCATATACGGTTATATCACGGTTCGACATCTGATGGAGATTCTATCTCTTCGGATTTAATTTGTAACTTCATTTCCATTCGGGACATAGTCGGTCATGTATCTCGCCATTTTAATTTTTTTTTTAACTTTAATCTTTGACATGGTTTCGAGTTCACAGTTATTCTTTTCCTAGACCGGCTGCCACTCAAGTCAAAAGATCCTGTTTTAGTCTACTAAATAAGTTATAGCTATGATCATTCCTTTTCAAATGGCATTTGTGCGAAGGTCATACACACATACATGCATACATACATACATATATACCTACATTCACACACACACACATATATATATATATATATATATATATATTAAAACATACATGTATATAAACATGTATATATAAATATATATCTATAAATATATATATGTATATATATGTATAAACATACATACAGATACAAATAAATATATATATAAACATATATATTTATATATAAACATATATATAAACATGCATATATATAAACATACATATATATAAATATAATATATATATATAAAATATATACAGATATATGTATATATCTGTATATATGTTTATATATATATATATAATATATATATATATATATATATATATAAAACATATATACAGATATATATGTGTATATATGTATATATATATATATATATATATATATATATATATATATATATATATATATATATATATATATATATATATATATATTAGTGGTAAATATACATACGTATGCAAAGTATATAAATACCCATACATGTATATTTTAGAATAAAATTCCAAGAGGAAGAATCCAAAATTCAAATTATCAGACCTACAAATTCAAAAGAATTTCCTTTTGAATTTGTAAGTCTGATGAATTGATCGTATTTACGATTTCAATGGAATAAATTATGACCATGGAATATTAGTGTTTAAGCCTTTTTTTATTATTATTATTATTATTATTATTATATATATATATATATATATATATATATATATATATATATATATATATATATATATATATATATATATATATATATATATAAACAGTTTGTCATAGGAGGGTGGAGTGCTTGGAGAGCCTGAGTTCGAATGCCAGTCGAATCCATTATATTCACTTCGGAAAGGTGTGAATCCTCTTCTTCTCCCTCCAGCTATGGGTAAATAGCAGGACAGACTGGGTTCTATAGCCTTGGATGGCAACTGGTCTAGGAGAAGGACAACTCTGAATTCAAACCCGGATAGACGGCACTTTGTGCTACCTTCCTAGATTTCTAATCGGTTTCTTGATATTAAACTCCAAACTGTATTGGTTTATCCTCTCCTTTGGTCTCTGTTGGCAAGGCCGAGAGGGGGAACTAGACGTCTGGGCAGCCGTAGTTCTACATATATCCCGCCCAGGCTCGTAGTGTACCGCGCTACTCCATCGTCTCTCGAGACGGACGCATGCCGACGACAACATTTAGAAACATTTCCTATTTGTTATTTAACCTGTTGGATGTGTTAGTAATGTGAATTCTTGATGTTATTGGTCGTTGGGTAGGGCCTGGAAACTATACCAGTTGTTGACACAAGGCCTGTGACTGAAACTGACAGAAGACGTCGATGGCTGTGCTAGCACGAAGTCATAAGACATCATGACCGAGCCTTTGAGCGTACTAGCCTTGATCAAACTAGTGGTAATATCAGATTATTATTATTCCCCAAATTTTAGTATAAACCACAGGAGGGCATTGTAGGTGTGCCCGAGCAGGTGTCTGCAACAGAGATTGGCTAGCCACATTAGAAGATGGATTTGCTCGAAAAAGAGTAGGTGGCCATGATATATATTAGGTTGGTGCAAAAATAATGTCGTTTTTGAATGTTAAGTTGAACGTCAAAAACGACATTATTTTTTTAATATATATATATATATATATATATATATATATATATATCACTTGGAAGAGCCTACGTTTGGGGGATCATATCTGTTTGATGTAAGTCTGACGAAGCAGGAAATTTCTTCGCAGCAGGTTACCATGTGTTTCTGTTGTAGACCGGCTACCAACCAAGGCTACAGGATCACATCGGTCCTACTATTCAATCAATGGCTATAAAAGAGGAATTCATATCTTTCCCAAAGGTATTATTAGTAACATCATTGGGTCTTGCCGTGTAGAACTGGATTCAATAGAAACGGGAAGAGCAATAATTGAGTAGTACTAAATAAGAACAAGATGTGATGCCTCTAGGACAGTGGAATGAGAACAATCTACCCCTGTAGATTAAATAAAGGGTTAGGCTCAAAATTCTCTGTTTGCAAGCACTTGATGGAGGCCGAAAAACACAGCGAACGAATGGTTATGGCAATAACAACAAGGTGAGGACAAAAGTTCGAGTGCAAATAATGTATGTATATAATATATTTTCTACAGCCACCAAGAAATTAATTTGTGGACTTCAAAGAATTAAATCTAAAATAAATAGACACAATACGTCTAAATTATTTAACCAAACTTGCTTGAATGAAAAATATGATGTATATATATATATATATATATATATATATATATATATGTATGTATATAATTATTTATTTAAAAATATGATTCCAACACGCTACATAAGAGGTCTCATGTTTCAAAACAAGAGCCGAAAACTTTAATATAATTATTTGAATTAAATTGAACTAAAGTAAGCTCTGTTTCATCGTCAAGCGAAATTTTTTTTTGGAATAACTTATTTCTGAAATTTACGTGTTTTAATAGCATGTTCATTATTGAAATCAAAATTTCTATGGTAACGGCTAGAGCGATTGTTTAAATAAAAAGGGGTTTAGGTGTTAATAATTTGTATCAGTATAGAGTTACATTCACAGAGGGTTTTGTGTATATAAAAAAAACTGCCGAACATTTGTTTTTTGACGACTTCATAAAGGGTTATCTTTTTTTGTAGAGTATTTAAACTATTTATTAGGACAATGGATTTTTAAAATTATTTTATTGTTTGTTTGTTTTTATGCTAATTATTCAATGCAAAAATTTGATGATGTCGGCAAAAAACCGTTAACTCTTGTATATTGTTTAATAGATTTTTATTATTTAGAAACTTAATAATGTGTAGTTTTTCATGTAGGCATAAAGGGTATGGGTCATCCCAAGTTTTACAAGTTCTAGTTTTGTTTATAATTTTCCATTTTACTATATATATATATATATATATATATATATATATGGTGGACACTTCAGCTTAAGCAACTCAGTTTCTAGGAACTGACAGCACAGACACCAGCATATATAATTTGATTATCTTGGTGAAGGCTTTGTGCAGAACCAACCACACTTTTGAAGAGCCGAATACAGAGACCTGGTTCACTACGCGCCACAATGTCCCTACGCAGGTTTTGAATTCACGGGTATCCTTCTTCTCGATCAATTGCCATCCAAGGCTATAAAACCCAGTCTGTCCTGTTATTTACCCTGGAGGGAGAAGAAGAGGGTTAATACCTTTCCCAAGGGTATTAGCATGTAAGTGAATGTAATGGATTCGACTGGAATTCGAACTCGGCTCTCCGATTTCTCAATCCGAGCTATTATCTAATTAGATCACAGCGCACATCTTGATAAATGGTTGATAAACCGTAAAAGAAAAAAAATCAACCAATAAGTAAAATCTTTTTATTGTTTTCTAGATTATTTTTAGTGTTGTATGGAATGATGATATATGTTATTCGCCAAGCCTCATCAGAGGATGATATGTGACACGAGCTGGAAGGAAAACTGAAATAATTGTGACGATTTCAGAATACTTGGAAAAGGAAAGGAACGATTACAAATGTTCTATGTTCTCAGCTCGTATCTTTCTCGTCAGTGGTTTCGGTTCGACAATAGTCACTCATCTCTAAACGACTGGCATATATATATATATATATATATATGACATAAACGAACATTTTCTGGTTTCTGGTTGTCAGATCTGATAAGGTAATTTAATTTATTGCCCCTTATTCTCGAAAAGGCAAAACATTTTCCTTACACATAAATGTATCTTTCATTTGGAACTGAGGAAACCGAGACAAACAGGCGCCGGCGAAACGCGTGGTTTATAAGCTTTTCCATTTTGTCATATATATTTATATATATCTAATGGTGTGAGTGTGTGTTTAAGATTGATTATATATATATATATATTATTCTAACCCGTAAATGGGTCTTTATTTTTTAACAATACTTATTATTACTATAAGCATTATGTTAGTCGCTAGACATGTTTAAATTAAATTTCGGGAATGGAAAATCTTATTAAAGAAAGATTTCGTGTCCCCAAAAGGGTGCGCATGTAGTTATTTTCCAAGCGTAGCTCAGATGTGGTACAGGGCCGAAAGTATGGGGTACCCAGTAAGGATCGAACTCACTACCCAGTCATAATTGTTCTAGCGAGACAAGCTTGCTAACCATTACACCACTTCGAGGTGCCCAAAACTTTGCGCATGTAAAATAAATGCACGGTGAAGAACAAAATGTATATTTATTATTAGTAGTGTATATATTTGTGTGTTGTGTGTGTGTGTGTGTGTGTGTGTGTGTGTGTGTGTGTGTGTGTGTGTGTGTGTGTGTGTGTGTGTGTGTGTGTAGAGAGAGATGAGTGTATATGTGTCTCTAAATTAGTGTACGCGCGTATGTCTCAATGTGCATGTGTGCCTGTATATAAATACATGAATTTCGTACTATTTATGCATATATTTGTTAAATGATGAATGAAGCTCTCAAATATACATGGAGAATCAATAGAGTTGTTAGACTGGACTGAAAAACAGCTGCTTTCAAAACGAGATCATTAATATAGGGATCTGTAATTTAAACAAAATGGCAGTTTAAAGTAAAGGGACGCTAAAAGTGAAGGGTATCCTTCAAAATGGTCGCTATTTTCTCGCCTG